TTAAGGCACATTCTTTACATATTGCATAAAATCGCACAAAACATTTGGCGTTAAGACTTGGAAATACGGTTGCATTTTTAAATATAAATGCACACGGAATTTTTACTTGTTCCCATATCTTTGTAGCAAATACGTTAGGCCATTCGCCAGATTTTAATTTTAGGTATCGACGATTGCTATAATGTTTTACGACAGGCTTTATATCATTCCAATTTTTGTCAGAAATTATGAGTTTGAAAGCTTTATCATTACATAATTTATTCGGTTGTTCAGATAAATTTGAATCAGAAAAACTTGTGTTATTCAATTGTGTCTCATTGAAAGAATTTTCAATATTTTTACTTAATCCAAATGCTTCTGCTACGGAAGTACGTATACCGCGTCTATCTGTATTTAATATGGTATATATATGCTTCGGACTTATATACGAATCCATTTCTTTTTCGCTTATTTGTAAGTATATAGGATTCGAGGGTGGAAAACATTTTCCATTTACATCTATACACTTATATTCTGGAGTTGTTAATATTTGTATCAATTTATTTTGATCATACATTTTTCTACATATAAGTTTTTTTATACGAAAGAAACATAATGTTCAATTTGCTTATTGACGAAATATGAAAGACACTTCGATCCGTTTCTGTTCCCTATAACCGATTCTCCCATCATCAACCCCGAGTAGCTGTCTGTCGAAAACAAATGCTAATCAGTTGAGGAGAACAAGCGCTGATGCTGTATCGCAGAGCTCGAAGATGCACATTTCGCCGATTTCTAAAGCGAGGTCTACCGTGCCCCCACCACGACTCGAGGTTCGCCGGTCGAGCGCGGTTCTACTGCATAGAACTCTGTAGAAAACTCTTCAATATATTCGGAACTATGCGAGAACTATTTGTATAAAGCCAGAACTCCGTCATATCGGACAGCAAATCATACTTATCTGCCTTAATGACAGTTTTCGGGCAGTATTAATTATTTAAAAATTATTTATCGGTTCTACTGCATAGAACTCTGTAGAAAACTCTTAAATATATTGGGAACTATGCGAGAATTATTTGTATAAAGCCAGAACTCCGTCATTTCGGACAGCAAATCATACTTATCTGCCTTAATGACAGTTTTCGGGCAGCATTAATTATTTAAAAATTATTTATCGGTTCTACTGCATAGAACTCTGTAGAAAAGACTTAAATATGTTCGGAACTATGCGAGAACTATTTGTATAAAGCCAGAACTCCGTCATTTCGGACAGCAAATCATACCTATCTGCCTTAAATACAGTTCTCGGGCTGTATTAATTTTTCAAAAATTATTTATCGGTTCTACTGCATAGAACTTTTTCTAGAACTATTGTAGAACTTTCATGCGATAAAAATCCTAGCAGAAATAACTAGGAAATCATCCGGGGACAAAGTGATTTGCAGCGTGAAGTTAGCAAATCAGTTTGCACTTTTCAATTTTTTGGTCTTAAAAGCCAGAACTATGTGTTTAATGTATCAGGAACTCTAGAACTATTAGAAAGGAAGTCAGAACTCTAAAAAATCAGTGTTTTTCCAGGAAATGATATGCCAGCTTCACACACACCGTTTCGGATCTTGCAAATTTTACGCGCCTACTTAAAGTCGCGCTGCATCGTCGTCATGAATGGCACTCTATCGAATTAAAACATGCGAGACCTAGTCAGATTTAATACCGAGACATAGGATATCGCGTTTAAACTTGGAATTTTTACGTTTCGGATCTTGCAATTTTTACGCGCCTACTTAAAGCTGCATCGTCGTCATGAGTGACACTCTATCGAATTAAAACTTGCGAGACCTAGTCAGATTTAATACCGGGGCATAGGATATCGCATTTAAACTTCGAATTTTTACCTTTTGGAACTTGTAATTCTTATGCGACAACTTAAAGTCGCGCTGCAGTGTCGTCATGAATGACACTCTATCGACTTAAAAATTACGAGGCGTCGTCAGAATAAATGCCAGAACATAGGATATCGCGTTTAAACTTGGAATTTTTACGTTTCGGATCTTGCAATTTTTATGCGCCTACTTAAAGTCGCGCTGCATCATCGTCATGAATGACACTCTATCGAATTAAAACTTGCGAGACGTCGTCAGATTTAATGCGGGGGCATAGGATATCGCGTTAGAAATCAAAAATTTTTTATTTTCGAAACTCGCGGTCTTTTTGCGCCAACCTTAAAGTGGATGGATCGTCGCCAGTAATGACTCTAGCGAATCAAGAATTGGGAGACATTGTTAGATTTCGTGCCTGAGAAGAGGCAATCGTGTCCGAACTGCAAAATTTTTATTTTTCCGCACCTGTCAATTTCTCGCGCTGAATCTTGAAGTGCGCTGCAATCGGGTCAAAACGCGATTTGAGCACTCTGACTGATAAGAGATATTCCTAGAACTTGTGACGGGGAATAGGAATATCGCATATGAATTGCGTATTGTAAAAATTATTAGTTTTCGGGACTTACGATTTTTCTGCACTAACATTAAAGTTGTTGCATCGTCGTCAGTTCCGGTTTTAGCGCCCTGAGCAAGATTATCGTGGCTCAAATTCAAATTCAAGGGCTCGAAATTCTTGCGAAAGAAGAGACAAGGTAATAATATCGAATGGCAAACTCCATTTTGTTTTTATGTTTTAGCGAATCTCTCTCACTCTCAAACTAGGTGAAACCAGGCAGCGGCACCAGTACACATTTGGCGCCCTCGGCGATCGCCCAACCGCGCCCTAACCTTACGCCGGTACTGATCGTCGTCAATAATGAGACTCTCACAACGAAAAATCTTCGCTCACATAAGGAAAAATTAATAACTTTGTTTTATCGACGTTTCATGCACATAGGACGGAAGACAACCACAATGTCGTGGACATTACCGATGGGATTGTGGACATTGGCTACGTGATTCGAAGTCCACATTATGTGGACATAGAGGCGCTTCAAAATAAGGTCGCAATTAAATCGCGGCCGTGGCCGCTCTCAAGGACGTCTACATTGGAAGTAAGCAGTATGAAGAAAACCTAACCTAACCTAACCCAAACTTTTTCCTTTCAGTGTAAAAGCTAAAGTGCAGTCATAATTTTTTAAAATATTTGTGGCACTGGTCGAACTTTGCTCGAATTCGTCTAGTGTAAGCGTTATAGCTGAAGTAGGAGTAAGAAATAGAAATTATTCATTTCTTTACGTCTACTCTTACTTCTTACGCCAGGCTTACTTAATCTATTGTAGACAATCCTTCAGGCTTCTCTCTGCTGTAGGCTTGTTTTCTATTGCTTCACTGGTGAACTAGTGCAGTAAGTAGAATGAGAAAAAATTACTTGTTTTAGGCCGGTATTCATAATCATATCCATAGAATCTGTATAAGGAGATCGAACTAGGCTTTATTACATCACTGAACGTGGGCCGACATCATTGCAAGTTCGTGTATCAAAATTTTACTACTTGTAGCGCCGGCGCCGCAGAATCGGATTAAGGATTCGCCCATGAGTTTACCGATGTTAATCTCACGGTCTTGTAGATACAGCGTATAATCGACCTTCAATCTAACATTGTTATCTGGAGGTCGATTTCTGGAACTTACGTAAATTACAAAAGTTGAGTGAATACTAGAATATTTGTAATTTCAAACTGTGAATTCGCTCACTTTTGTAAGTTTCAGAGATACAAACAATCCACCTCCTCATCTTATTTACGAATCGGACGTATCGAGCCTGCTCTCACGAAAGCTTCATGCATGTGGCAACCATGAGTCACAAAAAAAAATCATTCAGTATCATTCACTATCATTCGAATCATTCAGTATCATAGGTGGAAAACTACCGATAAAACTCTTTCTTTTCCGTTGATTTCCTGCTAACTTTCGGTTAATAAATATTTAATTAAAGTTATCTAGATCACTCACGAACCTTTTTAATCACACTTCATAACTCTTCATACAAAATACATACGATTCCATATTTGTCTATTGTGGCTAAACGCATGGTGGAAAAATAATTGATTAATTACGAACAAACAAATGATTCACAAACCTTTTCAATTGCACTTCAAATGTTTTCATACGAAATACAAACGATTGTATATGTGAGTTATTTAAAAATATGTTTAATTGTGTTCAAGTGTCTACGATTGCGCGTCAAGACGATTTTGTGATGTCATGTTAGTTCTAACGTCGACGCTGGAAAGTTCAGATTTTCCCATTTCTGTAACGTCAAAACGTCGCGAGCGGTACTTAAAAGCGTCGTCGTCAATTTTTATTCTCAATGTAAATGATATAGCCGTCTCTCCTCTCGTGTGAGTTCACCGTACAGATTGGCGACTTGTATCATGTTTTACTTACAATTAGTATTGTACTTATTATGTAACTGTGATAACTTAGTCCTAAGGAATACGCACCATTTATTACATTCGAATAATAAATGGTGACGCGACGCATGACGCGTTCAGAGGAAACGCACCATAAGGGCCGGTTTCACCATTTCCGATTAATTTCATCAGCCGGTTTTTTTTCAATTTTAGTGTTCCATTGGAATTGACCGATCCACGGTTGATACTTAATCATCCGATTAAATTAATCGGAGATGATGAAACTGACCTTAACCAATTAAAGTCGAAAGCGGAACATCATCTTTTTAAATATAATTACAGAATAAGTAGAACCAGTTTAAATTAATATTTCACGATCAACAAATTAGCAACAAAGTTTTATATCGTCATTATTACAATTTCCTTGATATAAGAAGATAAGCGAGAAACATTAAAAATGTTACACTCGAAAAAGAAGTATCTGTAGATTCTTTATATAATTCTAAAAAAGCCTCGTTTGTTGCATCGTCTTGATATTTAATATAAAATTTTCAATAAAAATTCAACATTAATTTTGTAATAAATTTGTACTTCGTGCCGACAAATTAATCCTATAGGATTTTGGAATGTGTGCAACCCGAGCTTTGCTTTGTCTTTTTTTATGCGCGTTATAAAACGAGAATATGTGTACGTTTTGTTTTGTCACAAATTCGCTTGAGTTCACTCCTAACAAAAGAAAAGCCTTCTTTCGTGTTTCGTTCGTCAGGCGCGTTAATCAGCGGAAATAAGAACAATAAGCTCGCTGATGCAGAACTGGAAATACTCGTATCAGATGGGAATTACGTTTTGACACACCGCTCGACGTACATTTAATCAGCGGGGCATGATGTGCACAAAATAAACAACCCAAATGCGTGACTCATAAAGGTGAGGTGTCGCCGGAATGAGAAGTCAAACGATGTAAATGAGCTTTACCTCAAAGTGGTGTGTTTCATTATAATTTTGAAACGGCCAAAAATCGAAATAACGCACATGGAATAATTAACAAGCGATATTACGCGGTTATAAAACTTATTGCAGTTTTTCAGCGATTATGAATTAATCGTGTATATGAGTTTATCTTTTCTCTGCCACGTCTGTTAATCAATACTCAAAGTTCATTTTTTTTAATACTGTGTGATATCGATATCAACTGTCTCTGCGCAATTTATTTGCCGAGAATATTTCATACCGCGTGTTATCGTCGCTACGATATTGCGATCCTGCGTTTGACATCGTTTGCAGAAAAACTTGTTTCTCACGAAGCGCACGCAATCTCCCGATGATAAATGGTCATGCCTCCGATTGCGACCCTCATTGCGTCTTCACGAGGGTGCCTGCATAAGCTCAAAGTAGACCGAGAGCGTTACACTGGGACGAGTGCAAAGTGTTATTGAATCGCTTAACCGACTTCGTGGTATAAGCGTAATTTTCACCATTGTTATTATTCTTAAGCGAATTTTTCTCGGTAATCGTCGTTTAATTAGTACCAAGCAGGTGCGCCGATTGCGAGGGAACAGAAGCATCGCGCGAACCGCGCTTCTCGGAGTAAAGCGTGAGCGGTGAGTCAATGTCAGAATTCGCGCACTCGGCTGTGTGTGCTGCACGTACATTCCGCGCTGTCTTTCCCCGCTTTCCATCGTCGTCATCGTCGCATCAATGTCGGTCCGAGTAGCGATAAAAGAGATCGGCGAACCTATGCCCCGTTAGTATCCGTGTGTTCTTCGCGGCGAGTGGGAGACGACGATCTGCCTGGCGGTCCCGGAGAACCAGTTTCCAGACGGAACGCGATTGTTGTACTCGCGCGAATACACTCGGAGCATTCGCGTGCATCAAGTGGAGAATCGCCGTCAAGCCGGAACCGCGCAATTTCTGCGGGACGATTAAGTGAGACTGAACTTGACCCATTTTTCAAGGGACATCGTAGCGTCGAGGCGACACGTTGATCGCATTGAGCCTCGCGGACTCCACGAGTGCTGTTTCGTCCCGCTTTCTCTCAGGTTGGTGTTAATTGTCACTTATTCAGTTGTTTTAAATGAAGATTCTGTTGTCGAGGAATACCGTAAATGGATCGTTTTTTTTTTACACCGGTACGTTGCGTGCAAAGGACACTTTGAGCAGTATTCATAGATAGATCTTAAATTTAAGATGATCTTAAGATTAGTCTTAAGATCGTCTTTAGATACTCCGCAGGTAATGAAACGTTCCATACAGCATCTTAAAATAAACTTAAAACGGTCTTGAATGAAGATCTGACTATGAATGCTGGCCTTTACTTCTGTACATAATAAATGTTTTATACACGCGTCTTGAGAATAAAATAAGGTGCTAAATTAATGTCTCTTTTAAAATAACCGTCAATTGTAGATATAGACGGAGCAAAGAAATGAAAGTATAACGGAATGATTTTGTAAATTGCAATAATTAATATTGCGAGCTTTTCGAGCAATGATTTTAGACCGCTCTTTCCAAGACTTAATTGATTCAATTATCTCTCGTTTCCTGTTTGTCAATTACCAATTACTATGAATTAGCAATTGAAAGTATCCTTTACGCGGAGATTTTGTAATTACTGAGGTGATTGAGTTTTCTATTATTGAATTTCATGATTATTGATTACATTAACATAATTACTGAGAAGTATTTCATCCAAGAGTGAAATATGGAGTGTTGCTTCATACATATGCTGCTTTGTGTATTACACAAATCAGAGAAAATACGAAAAAGCAGTGAGCAATAAGCTGTTCGTGACAATCTTACTTTCACATGTGACCTTCAGGATGAAATAAAATCCCGTGTAGGAGTAGGTTTTAGTAAATGAGTGGGCAGTTTTTTTCTTAATTGATGACTTCAAACTACAGATTATAAATATAATATAAAATGAAAGTGAAGTAATTGACTAAAATTATTGATTAGAAAAGCGATTTTGAAGCACTTAATATTCGTATCGCAGTTTCCTTCATTTTTATGTGAAGATTAATTAGAATAATTTTTTAATTATGATTATTGATCACACAATGATTATTAATGAAAAATTCTAATACTTTTATTAAGAAAATACTCGATACGAAAGTAATCGACAGAAATTGAATTTGTGAATTAAGATAAATAGTGATAAGAATGGATTCTTATGTAATATACATTCTTATGTAATATAATTTAGATGAATTCAATTTTCACGAATTTTATATTAAAATAGAGTCAACGAAATTTTTAATTGTTCACCAATTTCCTTCTTTTTTGCTTGGTCCTGTGGTCGAATTCAAATTGTAACCTTTTTCATACAACGTGAAATTACCAAAGACATTGACGATGCTCCAGAGCATGGAATATGTCAAATGTCATCGGACAATGTATATCTTCGCGTGATAGGAAGCGTTAACACGCACCACCGATAGATAAGTATGAAAAGAACTAGCTCAATCGATCGTAATTGTGAAGATAGCTTACGTTGTTTGACGTTGAAGCGGGAATTCCAACTATCAGAGGCGTCACAATGTAAATGAAATGCGTCAGCGTATAGCACTCGATTAGAAAATGCATCGACACGTCACATGGAAATTGACATTTCTTATCTGACATCAAATACTCAAATCTACTTCCTTCCTTTCAGTTACAGATCTTTTGCCTTACACTCTAAAAAATAGTGGTATGAACTTTCACCACACCC